GCTTAAAGGGACTTTAGAGAATATCCAGTCTGATCTTTTAATTTTGTACATAATGGAGACATGAACATTTACTGTTGTGGACATTGAGGCAGCAGAATCTGACTGTACTCTTCCTCTCCCTCACTCAGTCTTCTTCCTGTTAACTCAGGAATTTGCAAAGCCTGGCCTGGAAGGGAAGGAAGGAGAGAGGGGAAGAGGAGAGGAAGAGGGACTGGAAAGATCAATGGAAAAGGTTACAAGTGTCTTTTCTCCAGCTTCAAAAAGACCCAGTGGTGGGGGGCAGCTACTGTGGCGCAGCGGATTGAGCACCGGCTCTGAAGTCAGGAGGACCTGAGTTCAAACCAGCTTCAGACACATAACATTCTGTGCATGACTCTGGGCAAGTCACTTAACCCCAATTGCCTCACCAAAAAAAAAAAAAAGACCCAGTGGTAGACAGGTGGATGCTTCATTGAGAAGAGTTTCAGGCCACCTCCTAGGAGTTAGCACAGCTGACCAAGGAACCTGACCAACATGGATGGACTGGTGTTAGCCAGACTGCAGGCGTGTCATCCTGGGCTTATTAGAAGAATTGTAACACAGGCTGAGAAGAGGTGATTGTGACTGTTGTCTACTTGTAAATTATGGTAGGGTCTAGAGCAGAGGTGTCAATCACACAGCCCTGTGAGTGGGGCTTGAACCAGCTTAAAAATATAATTGGGAAATTTTAATAAAATAAAAATACAACATAATTAATATCACATTTTAAAGCTAAGTCAATATGGGCCATAGGGATCCTTCTGTATAGCTTACTGGCCCCTTTTCTATTTGAATTTGACACCATTGATCAGAGATCCTAAGGCCACAAGCCCACAAAACACCAGAGAGTGGCTGTACCAGTTTAGAATATAATTGGGGAATACCTATCGGATTGGCCAACATGACAAAACAGGAAAATGATAAATGTTAGAGAAGATGTGGGAAAACTGGAACACTGATGCATTGTTGGTGGAGTTGTGAAATGATCCAACCATTTTGGAGAGCAATTTGGAACTATGCTGAAAGAACTATAAAAAATGTGCATACCCTTTGACCCAGCAATAGCACTTCTAGGGTTATATCCCAAAGAGATCATACAAACGGGAAAATGAACCACATATACAAAAATATTCATAGCAGCTCTTTTTGTGGTGGCAAAGAATTGGAAATTGAAAGGATGCCCATCAATTGGGGAATGGCTGAGCAAGTTGTGGTATATGAATGTAATGGAATACTATTGTGCTATGAGAAATGATGAACAGGCTGACTTCACAAAAACCTGGAAAGACTTGTATGGTCTGATGCTGAGTGAAGTGAGCAGAACCAAGAGGACTTTGTATACAATAGCAGCCATGTTGTGCGATGACTAATATTGATAAACTTAATCCTTCCCAGCAATACGAGGCTCTAAGACATCTCCAGAAGCCTTGTGATGGAAAATGCTATCCACATCCAAAGAAAGAATTATGGAAGTTGAATTGCTATTTTTTTTCCTCTTCTGTTGAATTTTGTTTCCTCTTTCTGATGGTTCCTCCTATTGGTTTTAATTTTTACTTACTAATGTGAAAATATGTTTAATAGGAATGTAAATGTATAGCCTATATCAGATTGTGCACCATCTTGGGGAGGGTGGTGGGGAGGAAGGGGGAGAAAAATTTTCAACTCAAAAGCATATGAAAGGGGCAGCTAGGTGGCACAGTGGACAGAGCACTGGCCCTGAAGTCAGGAGGACCTGAGTTCAAATCCGGCCTCAGACCAAACACTTGACACTTACTAGCTGTGTGACCCTGGGCAAGTCACTTAACCCCAGTTGCCTAAAAAAAAAAGGCATATGGAAGTGATTATTGATAAATCAAAATAAATTAATAAAAAAATATAATTGGGGAATGTTTTATAAAATAAATAAAAAATACAATACAACATAGATGATGTTAATTTGTGGTTTTCTAAGTTAATATGCTGCCCATAAGGACCAGTTTCTGCTTGAGTTTGACACCACTGACCAGAACACTTTTACTATACAAGGTTCCCTGGCTTTGTTCAGGTCCCAGTTAAAATCTTCCTTCGGCAAAAAGCCTTTCCAGAACTTCCTTAATATTAGATCTTTTCTTCTGTGATTATTTTCAATTTACCCTGTCTAAATCTTTTGGTTTTTTTGGCATGGAGTTGTTTGCATGTTGGTTTCCTCCTTGGATTTAGAGTCCCTGGCATATAGAAGGTGTTTAATGAATGCTTCTTGACTTGATTTGAAGAAATAACAATTAAGAAGAAAGGAAGAAAAAAAAACACTCGAACTCATACCATACTGCTCAGGGAAGGGGTCTGGCATCTCAGTGCCCTGTCAACAGTCAGTTATGAAGCATATATTAAGTGAATTATGTGCCAGGCAGGGTGCTGAGTAAATGATGAAGACTAAAAGGAACACAAAAACATAGTTCCTGACCTCAACGAGCTTATGTTTTAACAGAAAGATATCTATCACACAAATGCTTATGTGTGCATATATCTATGTAATATATATGATATATACAGCGTAAACGGGAAGTAATCTCTAATGGAAGGCACTAGGGTGGGGATGTGAGAGGAGAGATGAGCAAAAGCATTCTTCAGAAGATGGGATTTGAGCTGTCTTGAAGGAAGCCAGGGAAGCCAAGAGGCTGAAGTGGAGATGGAGAACATTCTATGCATAAGGGACAGCCAGCAATTTATATGGGAACTAAGGGAATTGTGGGAAACCATTTAATTATGGGAGAATTATTTAATCACAGAGGTGGGGGAGAGGAGGAGACAGCAATCATTCTTTTTTTTTTTTAACCTTTTGCCCCAGTCATCTCCTGTTCAATATTGGGATTCACTTTATTTTGGGACCTTTATCTACACAGAACACTCACAACAATGCTAACTGCTATTTCCTTTTTTTTTATTTTATGTATTTCCACGTTGGTTGATTGTTATCCTTCGTTCTCGAAGAGAACCAAAATGAGTCAAAGTATAGTGTATCTGGCTGTGGCTGATCAGAACAATACGAGCTCGGAATGCTCTACCACAGGTCGGGCACACATAGCCCACGTGAACATTCGGGGGATTCTCTAATTTTGTGCATCTCTCTACTTCAATTCCGCTTTGCTCATGGAGCACAGCCTCTTCTCTGATGAGGGCACACCATGCTGGACAGTCCTATGCCAGGGTCTCCCATGTCACACAATCAATTCCAAAGTTCTTAAGAGAGACCTTGATAGTGTCCTTGTATCACTTTTTCTGACCACCATGTGAGTGCTTGCCCTGTGGGAGTTCTCCATAAAATGGTCTTTTTAACAAGCCTTACGTTTGGCATTCAAACAATGTGGCCAGCCCATCTGAGCTGTGTTCTCTGCAGTAGAGTTTGAATGCTTGGCAGTTTAGTTCGAGAAAGGACCTCAGTGTCTGGTATCTTATCCTATCAGGTGATCTTCAGAATCTTTCTAAGACAATTCAAATGGAAGCAATTCAGTTTCCTAGCATAGTTCTGGTATACTGTCCAGGTTTCACAGGTATATAACAATGAAGTCAGCAGCGGACCTTCACACCCTGGTAAACCATTTCGGCAGACTGGCTAAACCACGTTAAGGGTAACTGAAGGGTCTCAAACTGGTCAATGAGTTAGGGAGGGGACCACCCCAAGTTTGTGAAGACTTCCCCTGGTGTAATGGGTGGATGAGAATAATTTGCTCCCTTGGCCATGAAGGCAGCTGAAGTAGGTGCTATGGAGTGCTTAGAGTTTGGTTAGACATTGAAGACACCAAGGTCATTCCCTGAATCTCGAGCCATCACCAGTCATCTTTTCTTTCTCATGGTTTTTCCCTTTTGTTCTGATTCTTCTTTCACAACATGACTAATGTGGAAATATATTTAATATGATTGTAGTGTATAGCCTACATCAGATTGCATGCTGTCTTGGGGTGGAGGAAAATTTTAAACTCAAAATCTTATAAAAGTAAATGTTGAAAACAAAAAATTAATTACTTTTTTTAAAAAGAGAGAGAGAAGGTGCCCTAAAAATTGTCTGCTTATCCAATCCTGGCTTACTTACCTTGGCAGGAAGGGATCCCACCCTGTGGTCAAAACACAAAAATAAGTGTACAAAAACTTCTGCAAAGATTCCGTTCATCATTGGTACATGGAATGTGAGCATACTTATAGACAACACAAAATCTATGCGAGAGACCTCAGCAGGTATCACATCCAAATAGCATCCCTGAGTGAAACAAGGCTGGCAAATGAAGGCCAGCTTATTGAAGTTGGAGTGGGATATGTGATTTCCACCCCACTTATTAGTATTTTATTTTTTCTGATTACATGTAAAGATAATTTTCTTCAACATTCACTTTAATAAGATTTTGAGTTCCAAATTTTTTTCTCCCTCCTCTCCCTCCCCACCTCCTTCTCCAAGATGGCTTGCAATCTGATATAGGTTGTACATGTACAATCATATTAAACATATTTCCACATTATTCATGTTGTGAAAGAAGAATCAGAACAAAAGGGAAAGACCATGAGAAAGAAAAAACAAGAAAGAAAAGAGAAAATAGTATGCTTCAATCTGTATTCAGACTCCATAGTTCTTTCTCTGGATGTGGATAGCATTTTCTTTCTTTCTTTTTTTTTTTAAAGCTACTTAATATATTTATTAAGCAGACACCAAAAACAAAGGACCTTACATAACTACCCAGTGCCTACTCCATAAGCAAACATCTTTTGGTTTGGTGCACACTGATATCACCTTCCAATTTCAGCTACACATAAATTCAGTTTTCCTTTTCAAAGCAAATGGCATCCTGTAACAGCATGGTAAAGAGAAGAAGCTTATTTAACAGACCAAAAGGAAAAGGTGAAAACTTTTTAACAGATCATCTGAATCTGGAAAGAAATATATCTAGCATAGCCACAGAGGTACTTCTCGTTGAGAATCTAGACCAGGATCACTGCCACTCATTTCAGTCAGGTAAATTCAGGCTTCTCTTCATATGCTAATCTTGAATGGCAATGATAAGCTGTCATCATACTCACCTGTCATTATGATATCTTTAGGCACTCTTTTGGGAGGGCAACGTGGCATCTTCATGTGTTTCATTCTTGGTGATGTTTTAACAATACAGCATACTTCAGATGTAGTACGTGAAACCTTGGCAGTGACAGCTCTCTCTACTTGAGCCCTTGATTCCATCACCTCTTCTCTCCATTGGTTGCTTGTCCCTTCAATTGTATCCACGCTCCCCTTAGTTTTTAATTTTTCTTTATCCACTTGCTTCTTGACCATATCTTTACACATTCTTTAGGTGGGCTACATGACATCTCTGTGTATCTAATTTGTGGTGATGTTCTGACAACACAGCACATTTCTGATATGAGACATGGAGCCTCAAACTTGCCTGTCTCTGTTGATGGAAAGCTTCCCAGTGATCCCATATTTTTCTCACCAATGGTGAAAGAGGAGTTTGTTTGCTCCTCTCTCCACTGCGTGTTTATGTTTTCAATAGTGTTCATTCTCCCCCTAGTTTTTAATCTCTCCTTGTCCACTGGCTCATTTATCACACCTTTAGACGCTCCTTTAGGATAGCAATGAAACATCTCTGTGCATCTATTTCTTGGTGATGATTTAATAATGCAGCATATTTCAGATGCAGTGCATTGAGCCTCCCAAGAATCTTTTTCTTCTTCTGAACTTGACGCAGCAACAATTTCATCTGAATATATATAATTACTTGTATTTGGATTTAATTCCCCTTCTGAAGATAATTTTTGTACTGGGGACAAATTAATCTCAAACTTGCCTGTCTCTGATGATGGAGAGCTTGTCAGAAATCCTCTATTTTTCTTACCAAGGGAGAGAGAGGAATTTGTTTTGCTTGGTCTTGACATCTGGAGTTTTTTCTGTTTCAGGCAAAATTTTACAAGTGGAATTATCTAAAATTGCTGAAAGATTTGAAAATTGCTGCATGTTCTCTATAGCCGCTACTCTGCTGGTATCCAGAAAAGCAGAAGTCTTGAATTTGAGATAGTCTTCAGTAGTGGAATTATTAATATCTAAAAACTCTTCTCCCTTGAATACTTCAGGTGATGGAAAACTACTTAAACTATCTTCAAAGCTGGTGGTTTCTATATAAAAATTCATATCAGAAAATTTCAAAAGAGAAAAAGAAATCTCACTTGATGAAGTTATTCCTGAACTTATTTGAGTGTTCTTTGTATTACTTTCACCTTAGAGATCGTCATCAGTCATTGATTCCTTCGGTGTAAGAGTGTTCATGTTCTTGGAGGCCTCATTAGTGTGACTTTTTTGTAGGTTTTTTTGGTGTGCAACATTCAACTGCATGCTGTTTTTTGTAGTAGGGCTGTCATGTAACTGTGTTGCTTCAACATTCTCCTTCAACAACGGTAAGATTTTCATTTGAAGTTTTCCTTTTGATCCTTGTTATCTTGGGGTCTACTCGTGGATAGCATTTTCCATCGAGTTTTTTAGAACTATCTGAGATCTTTGTATTGCTGAGAAGAGCTGAGTCTATCAAAGTTGGTCATTGCACAACATGGCTGTTACTGTGTACAACGTTCTCCTGTTTCTGCTCACTTCATTTCATGTAAGACTTTCTAGGTTTTTCTAAAATCTGCCTGCTCATCATTTCTTATAGCACAATGGTATTTATTCCATAACATTTATATACCATAACTCGTTCAGCCGTTTCCCCATTGATGGATGCAAGATATTTGGAGACACCGTGTTTCCCAGGGCTAAGGCCCAGTAAGCAGGCTGCACCTGAGCTTGATATAACACCAATCCTTTGTGCTCATGATGATCTCACCCTCTCACAAAATGTATTGCTTTGACCAGTACCAGGTGTTGACTGAGGGATTTATAATTTTCATATCAATCAATATCTGTTTAGATTTGTTGGAGCTCCCCTTTATTTCCCAGGGATCTGGGAGCCAGGAACAGCTGATGTGACGTAATCTAAAGTCATTCATCACATCTCCTGACGTGCCTACAATTCCTGAATTCCTGTGCTTGTATAACTGCCAAGTGAATCAAACCAGGTACTGCACGTCTGTTCCTGCCGCAGTAACCCTGGTTCTGTACCCTGCTAAATGATCACAAGGCTCAAAGACCCTTAAGACTTGAGACAATCAATCTAAGAACCGTTCCCACAGGACCCAGTAATGCTCGCATTGTCCATGCATGAGCCTGCCGTGGGAACTGCTACTCCAGACCTAAGAATGATTGTGTTGTGGTCCAGCCCCCTTGTGGCTTTTTATGTATATAAGCACTGCCTTTGTCCCAATGTGTTAAGTCCTCTTACTTAGGGGGGCTTCCATTGCAAGCATTTTCCTCACTCTGAAGTTAAACAGCTACTTGATTCCTGACACACCTACTTCTAGCCTGTTTTGTCTGGCTCCAGCCATTCACAGGTTAGAGGCCAGTTCCGGTCCTATTAACATGGGCATACCCTCAGTTTCCAATTCACTGCCATCACAAAAAGAGCTGCTATAAATATTTTTGTACATGTAGGTCCTTTCCCCCTTTTTTATGATCTTTTTGGAACATAGACCTAGTTAACTGCTATTTCCTAATGAAAACATTTATCTAAACCCCCCACTCCTTCATGGAGGTGTGAGGTCCAAAGGTATTACATATATTTTTAGATTTTTTTCAACGTATTGATCAATTGTGCTGATATTTTTTCCTCTCCTATTTTTTTCTTTAATTGTTATATGAGATGGTTCTCTGGGTGGGGCAGGGATACAGGGGAAGACTATACTAATGTAAAAAAAAAGACATCAATAAAAACATTTATAAAAATAAAATTTAAATTTAAAAATATTTAAAAGAAAACAGCTATTCAAAGTATTGTGGTACTTGAAAGAAAAACTCCAAGACACAGTTGCTCATCAAAAGATCTTTTACTTGCAATGCAGGAAAGATGCATTGTAAGAGCTATATCTGAGTACAAACTTGATTAGTTTTTCCTATAGGTCTTCCTTTATGCAGCAAAGCAAACAAAAATTAAGGGAAATGCTTACTCTAGTCTGACTGGCTATGCTAACAAGGTACAGAAATACCCAAGAGTACCGAAAAAACCCAACAACCCAGGTAAGAAACATCTGCTTTAACAAGATATAGGGGATAGAGACAATTAAAGCAGGATACAGGTGCTACATGGCACAGGCAGGAACTGTAGAAGGCAACATGGATCCAAATAGGATCCAGGACGAAAGGAGTTTTCCACTGGCAAGTATTATCATATTTTTTGTTTTCCCAGCAAACTACAGCCTTCCTTTAATTTCTTAAAACCAATATGAAGAGTGGTTAGGTGACACACTGAATAGAGTGTTGATGCTAGAGTTTAGAAGGCCTGAGTTCAAATCCCACCTTGCATACTTCCCAGCTGTGGAACCTTGGGCAAGTCACTAACCCCTCTCAGCCTCAGTTTTCTCATCTGTAAAATGGAGAGAATAATAGTACCTATCTCCCAGGGTTGTTGTGAGGGCCCTTTCAGGTTCTAGGATTAACTTGATGAGTTTATAAGGAAATGTGGACATTTCTACTTGACCTATTGTGATCAGTGTGGATCAATTGGGGTGAATTAGTTAGCTCAGACTTTTATGGAATGAGCTACGCCTTTATTCTCAGCTTATCAAAAGAAGGGTCTCCATGGTAAGAGTTATCCCTTTTATTCCTTTAAGGAATGATCCTGAGCAAACGGCACAGTTAAAAGGCGTAGGCAGGAGTGTGTGTGTGTGTGTGTGTGTGTGTGTGTTGAGGTCCTTCCCACCTCCATGACAGCAGGTCATTATTTGCATCAGGGAAGGCTTAGCTGGGTGTCATGTGTAGAGAAGCAGGTACCTCCCCCACCCCACCTCATCATTTATCTCATCAGGCCAGGGATCCCTAAGGCTACTTGGTTTGCACTAGCATATAATTTTGTGCAGGTATGGACTGGTTTCCTTTAAAATGGGGTTTAACTAACTTGGAATCAAAGTAATTACATCTTAATATTAATAGCTGAATCTTCGTCCATGTCATGCATGCCCACTAACCTTTGGGGCCCACTGAGCTTTGCCCTGGGTCCTCTCCTTTGTAGTAGCTTGTCCTGGGTCCTACTTGTTTGGTGATCTCATCAGCTCTCAGGAATTCTCTATGCACATGATTCTTAGATCTACTTATCCAGCCCTAATCTGTCTCCTGACTTTCAGGCTCATATCTCCAACTGACTATTGGATGTCTTGAACTGTATGTTAATAATATCTTAAACCCAAAATATCCAAAACCAAACTCAATATTTTTCCTCCCTAGCCTCTCCCTTTCCAAAGTTCCTTTATTACTGTCTAGGGGAATGGGGTCAAATTCAAGTAGAAACAGGGGCTACCAATTCATACATAAGGATCCCTGAAGGCCACTTATTGACTTAGTTTTAAAATGTAATATCATCTGTGTTTTATTGTGTTTTTATTTATTTATTCATTAAATATTTTAATCTGGTCCAGGCTGCACCTGTCAGGTGTGTTATGGGCTACATATGGCCATTGGCCATGTGTTTGATGAGAAAAATGATTATTAATAACCAATAATTTGTGGAGATCCAGAGTCCCCCTTCTCCACTTTTTCTAAAGTCCTTATTTCAAAAGTTCAGTCTCTTGAAGGACATTACTGACAATGAGATTGCATTAACTTTCTTAACAATCTTGTTCAGGCCCCACCCAGGTGGGGAAGCCATTGTGCTCCATTCATTTGGGTGGGATAAATTCTTTTAAAAGATTGCCCAAGGCTAGGGGTGTTCTGCTATAGGGACAATCTCTCTTTGACATGATGTCACTCTCAGCCGCTCATTGTAATATTCATTCTTTCATTAATTGTTAACCAATCAGAGTTGATTGCCATCATCAGGATCACTTCTCTTCCAAAGGGCAAATAAACCATGAACCCACCACTATGATTATATTTGGTCTAAGAGAGAGAGACAGCCAAATGACTATCCTTTTATTTAAAATGCTGGCATTATTAATAAAATGATTAAATTGCCCAGAAAGTATGTCTCTCAAACTTTTTAAATGTTACATTAGCACCTCTGGTCTAGGTATCACTATCCTCCCATCCACCCAAAGCTTGAAACCTAAGTGTCATCCTTGACTTCTTACTCAATCTGTTGACTGTTTATGAGCTTTGAGTTCTATATATGTTTTCTGCATTTTATGTAGGGATTAATAAAGGCTGGGGACTCTTTTACCCAAATATATATGAAGACCTAGACACACACTATATTTGATCCGTAGCCTGGAATTTCCCAGAGTCAACTTTAAGTAGGGATAAAGCAAGCAAGAGAGTGTAAGTTGGGGAGCCACACCAAAAAAGCCCAGATGATGTTGGGACATGGGCTATACTTAAAAAGGTTGGGAGCCACAGGTAGGTGGTCAAAAGAAAAGAATGACCAGAAGAATAGTGGGATTCATCAAGGAAGGCTTCTTGGAAGTGGTGAATTTGAACCTACATTTGAAGGAAAACATCTAGGAAAGCAAGGACAAAATTCAAAGAGACCCTGGGACAGCTAGATGGTGAAATGGATAGAGCACTAGCCCTGGAGTCTAGGGGACCTGAGTTCAAATCCAGCCTCAGATACTTGATACTAGCTGTGTGACTCTGGGCAAGTCACTTAACCCTGACTGCCACTTAACCCCCCCCCAAAAAAAAAATTCTAGGAGACCAGATTCCTATTCTTCCTGTTGGAAGCCCTTGAGCTCAGCTCTAGTTCTTATGCTTTTCTTCTCCTCTAACTTAGCACCTCCTGATTCTGCATCCTATTTGCAGGCTTTTGTGGTGTGAATCTCCTTGATACTATTAACCACCTCTCACCAACTCAACTCTTCTCAGTCTTATCCCTCGGAACCCTCCTCTCCCACTGGGTCAGGCTATGGAAATAGTGAGTCGTTGACATGATAATTTGGTATCTGCAAAGAAACAGTATGGTTATTAGCCAAGCCTTCCTGTTTGTGTGCAGTGACATATTCAGTGGCCACCTAGTGAGAACCAGGGAGGCCAATCCTGAGAAAGGAAATGGGCTGCTCCTGAAGTGGGGATAATTAGAGATTTTGTCATAGATAAGCTAGAGGGATGATGAAGACAAGCACAAGTCATGAGCTAAAGGAAAGTTCCTGGAATCAGAACAATTACGTTCTAATTTAATCCTGCCCCTGCTACAAACCAGGTACATAACCTTAGGCAGATAACTCACCTCTTAGGATCTCAGTTTCTTCATCTGTAAAATCATAACAATCAAATTTATCCTACCTGCCTCACTGGGTTTCTATGAAGATAACAATAAAATCAACAATAATAGCATTTACATGGCACTTTAAGATTTGCAAAGTGCTTTAGATTTCTTATCTCATTTGATCTTCAAAACA